GATTACCTGTACAGGAAGAAGAATACCAAAGGATTTTATTTGTGCAATAATATCAGTAGTAACTCGGATGCATAAACTTGTCATTGTTTATGACTGCAGACTACATGAATAAGTGAAAATTTTATTCATATTTACAATGGATTTTGCAGCTTGTAAACAAAATGTAAAATCACAAAATTACACCAAAAATAATTCTGAAATTACAGTATATCCGCATGAACGGTGAGCAAAGCACAATAACAAGAAAGAGAAAATTAATGATGATTAAATCTCAGCGAGATTCTCATCAAATTTACATTTGTGAATCGCAATATGAGTCAGCAGTTTTGATGCGCCATACTCTAATTCTATGCGTAATATGAATAACCAATAGTGTTTACTTCATTCGATGCATCCACTTTGGAATAATTGAATGAATGATTGAAAATAATTCGATGTAAAGACACCAGAATGAACATCCAGTTGATCCGACTAAGCTCTATCAGGAACATCAATTCGTTTAGTAATTTGTGTATATTAATGAATATTAATGAGTATTAATAATTGAACTGTTAATGAATAATGAATTAATTAATGCTATGCAAATTTCATTATTATGGTTACTTGGACATCGAGTGGTTGTTTTGTCAATCGCTGTGGGCGATCGGCGAAATATTTATTTTATTAGAGTTATGATTATTTATAGGATTGATATTTGGCTACGATTTGTTATGCAAAGTGTTCACGACAACTAATTAATTACTCGGTTGGCCTGCTCGCCTAGCCAGCGGGGTGGTGTAAATTGAGGCTAAAACAATGCGCACGGAAACGCGAGCATTGTGGTTGCAAACGTTTGATAGCTTGGCCAATCCAGGTANAAAAAAATGCATCGAAATCTGCATGAAATGAATGAAATTTGCATAGCATTTATCTTAAATTTGCATAGCATAAATCTTAAATGATCTCGGAGGAGTCACAAATAATCATTCAGCAATTTTGTTCAGTTGCTGAGTAGTAGTTTTGGGAAGGTAAGAAGAAGAGTGATAAATTTCAAAGTTGATCGAGATGGGTGACGAAGAAGCGCAGCGAGGTGAGAGTGGAGGTACAGGTACAGATCAACAAAGTTCGAAGCCAACTGAATCGAGGAAAGCTAATGAGGCTGATCTTGAGGTATCGTGTCTGCTTCTCTTTGATTGTCATCTCAATGCTTTGCATCATAAATTAAGAAATGTGTTTGTCGTTGAAAAATAATGAATGATTCAATAAGTCATCATAAACGGTTTCACTTACTACTGGGATCTAATGACGTTTGAGAATGCGTGATATGGCCATCGATACTAAATATTGGAGATTTGTTCAGTTTTTAGCGTGATTATTTAATGGATCGTTCAGGGTTCGTATACAGGAGCATTACTATTAGCGATACTTTCGTCGAGTATTGGGGGTTCATTTCAGTTTGGCTATCATATCGGCTGTATCAATGTACCAAGTCAGGTTAGTAATTCGGCTGTTGAATATTTCAATATATTTTCGAACAAAATTTTCTGCGTTTCTGAGTTCGGATAGTGTGCTGTTCATTAGGAATTGCTCAATGCTCTCTTCTAAAATGCCAACGGCATAACTTGTAACTGCTCATTGAGAAACATTCTGAAAAGCAATCCGTTTTTCGAAAAGCTTGTGGAATACTTCTAAAAAGCAAAAGTACGAGCATCACGTTGAATTATTGGAAGGGTCGACTCATTGAGAAGGACTTGACAAGGATATCGGATGAGGGATTAAGAGAGAAGTGATGACTTTCAGGTGATGAAAGATTGGTTTAGAGATTCTCACGAAATTCTTACTGGAAATAAACTGGAGGAAAAGGATATTGCTAAATATCAATGGTAATCGCACGGATTTTGATGATATCTTTTTACTGTTGACTTTCACAAAATGCGATTTGTGATATCTGCATAAATTTGGAGAAAGAAAGCTGCCTTTTCATTGAATATTCGGTAAAACTGTCCGATATCATCATGCACAGATGAGCTAAAATTTCAGGGGAATAACGGTATCTTTATTCGCGGTGGGAGGTATGGTTGGTGGTCTGGCTTGCGGCTGGGCTGCGGATCGTTTCGGTCGGAAAGGGGCGATGATAGCGAACAATGTGGTCGCGATGTTGGCAGCGCTGTTCATGTCGATCGCACGTTTCGTTAATACGTATCATTTGATCATGATCGGTCGTATTCTAATTGGAATTAATGCTGGTTCGTAGAGATTTTGAAGTTGTCTTTGATATAAGTTGAAACAAGCCGTATTTTTGTGATGTAATTCAAATGTGATGTGATGTAATTCAAAAATTTTGGCATCTATATGAAATAGGATAACACTTGGTATTTGTTTGTGGAGAGGAAACATCCTGAACCTTTGCACCACTGACGGCTCAGACTGATGCTGACAAGGCTTTCGTCTGATCCTCTGAATAGTATCCTCGGTTTTTTCTCAAAAAAAATTCGTGCTTAGGCTTTTGAACTGTTGTCGTGCTTGAGATGAGCACCAGTTATTTGGTTTAAGGCGCAAGCTCTGGCCTGGTACCGATGTATCTAATCGAAATATCGCCTGTAAATTTGCGTGGAACCATCGGAAGTATACCGCAATTCATGGTGACTTTCTCGATTCTCTTCTCACAAATCCTTGGTTTACCGCAAGTACTTGGTACAGCTGAACATTGGCCACTCATTTTTGGTATGCATCTTTACATTATTCATCAAACTTCTTCTCACAGAAGAAGTTTGATGAATCGTGCTACACTTTTGTAACTAGTAAGCAGATGTGAACACATGACCGCTTTATGCTATTTGCTGCAGTTGAAATCATGCACTGATCAATTACGTATCGTTCATTTTCGTATTAAGGATTATCGAATAGGAGAATCAACCGTGGAATGTGTGCAGGCGAAATAGCACGTTTTGGCATCGGATGCTTTGACAGTTTTTGGCTCAGGCATGCAGTAGCAATCTGAAACGTTCCATGCATCACTTCTGCATCCGTTGCCAAAACCTATAGCTCGATATTGCAACACATTATCAATGACTATTTTAGGGATAGTTTCGAAGCGATGAATTGAATTGTTGGTGTATGTATTTTTAGCATTCACCGCGGTACCGGTGTTGATACAAGTATGTACGTTGCCATTCTGCGTAGAATCACCAAAGTATAACTTGATAGTCAGAGATCTGGCCGAGCAAGCTGAAGAAGATCTGAAGAAACTGAGAGGCAAAAACGATGTACTCCTTGATGGCATTTCTTCAAGTTTAATTTTTTAAAATCATATTACTGATACAATGAGAAAAAGCGAGAAAATGTCAGCGTTGATAAGAATGATGGAGATATTCAATCAGTAATGTTATGTGATCAATATCTTTGATCACAACCTAGAATAGTGAGCTACTACAGAGATACGGTGAATATTGGAAATGCAATTGCTCAGACCTCGGATGAGGCTGCGTTACGACCGAATATTATATTATTATTATTACTATTTAAACTGCTCGTTTATGTGTAGGATTGAGAGTGAATCTGTCATTGAGTTTCTGTCGAAAAAATTCAACTCTTTTGCGCATATGCTATGAAAAGAAGTGCGGCTAAGATAAGGTATCGTGTTAGGAAGTTGAAGAGGAAATATTTCTGGAATGTGAATATTTGTGATGAGAGTGCGGATTCACTCAAACATCATTCAACAATGATTAATGTGCTCGTTTAGGTGGGTGCGGAAATGGACATTATGCGTGAAGAGGCAGCAGCGATGGCCAAGGTGGAAAAAGTGAAAATGGGTGATCTGTTCAAGGGCTCGCTTGCATGGCCGATGTTCATCGCAATAATGATGATGATCGCGCAACAGTTCAGCGGTATCAATGTGGCCATGTTCTTCTCAACGTCCATTTTCGAGGGTGCCGGTCTTAAGGACAATGCCATTTATGCCACCCTCGGTATGGGTGCTTGCAATGTGCTCATGACCGTCGCCTCTGTTTTCTTGGTCAGTTTCTCTTGCGATCAACCAATCAGCATCTCCGCAGCAGCCTCTGTTTCAGCCAATCACACTACTACTTGTTAGGTTCAGTCAATGCTACTCTAATGACATTTCCGCCTATACATTTTTCCCACTCATCCTAAAACTTTTACAATAGTATCTTCGTTCGGCAACAGAACATTTGAGTTACACTTCAGGTTGACAAATGCGGCCGTCGTATTTTGCTTTTGCTCGGTCTCCTTGGAATGCTTATCGCGTCGGTTCTTCTCACCATATCAATTAGCCTTTATGTAAGTTCAATTGTTCGCTACGTTTTATTGTCCTTTATGAAGTTATCCTATTCCTTGAACTTAGGCTACAAACTATCCCTATCTCAAGCGCACCTGAACATCAGGTGCACTACATCATGCATACATTAATATTTCGCAGTGCGTTGAATCGTTTATTTGATCAGCTGCATTATTTTCAACAAGACTTCCAAAAATGATAGTTGCGCTTATTGCAGGTTGCTAACAACGAAAGTAACCAATGGGCAGCATACTTATCGATGCTATTCGTGTTCGGATTTGTTATCTCGTTCGCTACCGGACCAGGTCATTAGCAGAATCTCATTTTATTTCAAATTATTCGTGCTCGAGAAATAGCGAAGCTTCGTGCATTAATAGGGCAAGCATATTGAATGTAAATTCGAATACACAGGTTCAATTCCGTGGTTCTTCGTGTCGGAATTGTTCGATTCTGGTGCACGTGGCGGTGCAAATTCAGTGGCAGCAAACGTCAACTGGACATCGAACTTCATCGTTGGCCTCTCTTGGGAATTCCTTAACGTGTGTTCACTCTTCTTCATTATACCCTATTTCTTCTGCTCTCGAGAAATGAACTTCCACTTAAGATCATGAAAAAACTTGGGTTGATTCACCTTGAGCGATTTGCCCGAGGGGCTTACAGCTCTAGCAGCGTGCACATTCTAGGGAAAACACAACCTTTGATATAATGTCGTTTGATCGGTTCAATTGAGTGATGTTAGGTTTCAAGATCATTGATCTGATGGCGTTTGACTCTCATCAAAATGCGCTGTCGTCAGCAATGAACTGAGACGAATGATCTCTGTTAAAATTTGCGTTTTCAGCAATCATTGAAGCATTACGCCTTCCTCATATTCGCCTGTTTCCAAGGATTCTTCATCTTTTTCGTGTACGTTTACGTGCCTGAGACAAAGGGTCGTAGCATTGAGGACATTAAACAAGAAATGAAACGAGGCAAATCGATTTGGGCTCGTCAGGGTGGTGGAGGTGACTGACATTAATAATTAAAAATCAGAAAGGAATCTCGAATCGAATTCTTTTAAACCTGTCTTCGTCAGCTCTAAACTATTTCTGACAGTGGCGTTTCTTAAGCTTTCCTCAGCGATAATTCAGCACCTTCGACAAAGTGCATCCGAGTTTCCATAATACTGCAGAAATTATGGGAGGCATTTTCGATGATGGCATTCCATGAGAATATCGCATTATCAATCTTATATTCTCGAACTATTTCAACATAAATACGTCAATTTACAAGATAATTTCCCATCATGAGGTGGAACAGACAACCGTTTGCGCGGTATATGAAAAATGTCGGTGAGACTTTGAAATGGGAATTGTCAAAATGCGGACTCTGAATGAATGGCCCATGAAGTGTCGTTTAAGAATCGCTGCTCTACACTATCCATTTGTCATCACGATTCGTATCTCTGTTCACCACTTATCGCAATTAATCCCATACAAATCCTTCCGAATCCCTCAACAAATTCCTTCGTAATCACAATAAGTTCAATAATTATTCACTGTTAAATAAACCCAAACTTCAGTCCATATGTCCATCATCGCCACAATGAAATAAATCGCATGCAAATTCATAATCGGTCATCAAATCAAGTTTGTTTGCCTCTTGCAAATTTACTCTCAATATCTGCAATCTCCGCTGTTCATGGATATCTACACCCCTCCTCAAAGTCCTCATTACAATAGTGAATATTGTGTCTCAGCTAATNATGTGCTGGTATTTGTGATATATTCTGCAAATAAATGATTATAGTTGTTTTTAGAATCTGCACTCTTCAGTTATTATCCACTGATTCAGAATTTATAAATCAAATTGAAAAATTATTGGAATTTATTCATTTGGTTGAAAGACACTTGTCGCGAAAAATGATTCAGTTTTATTTTCTCTAAAATTTTGCCACATTCAAATAATCACGAAGCAACTGACCACTCACAAAGATCACAAAACGCAAACAACGGCTATTCAACAAAACAAAGATGATATTCGATCCAGCCAAAACATCCGACGGTTGAGCCGTATAAAAGAGGTGTCGTATACACTTAGGATTCATTGTTTCATTCCTTCGCCGACTTCTTTATTCCTTCTAACTGAGTAAGTGACCAGCCAGTCGACGGAACAACACTTCCCACAATACTATCCGCTCAGAACTTCTCAGCAACTCTAAGCTGACAATCAGCCAACTGAACCCATCACGGAAAATAATGAACCGCGGCGACAATCAGCCTTCGTCAAATTGATATTTGAGACCCATTCTATCGCTCAGTATGTTCTCTACTTGTGAATTGCGCTACTCATACTTTATCACCCCTCAAACTAACCTGACGTATATCTCCCCCGCCCGTCCGTCCATAAGGCAGTCTACCTCCATAAGTATCTAGCTGGCTGATCTTCGCTACGCAACGCCGGTAGTGTTGCAAAAAGCGATTTTTTAACAAAAAATAAGAGCAAATCGCTTTTCGCGACAGTGCTACGTGCTCTGTACTCGTGTTTAATTTGAAATGCGACGAGACTCTCTCAATCAAAGAAGAGAGAACGTGCGAGATATTGATAAAAACTACAAGACTCATATTATTTTTTAAAATGTAAGAGAATAGGTCGTTTGAAACCCAATCACCGGGATAGATTCATAAACCCCAAAAAATTCTTCGTGAAAATGAAAATAACAAAATATATTAGCCACGTAACGAGGTAGAACTATGTGCATATGAAGGTGAGTTTAAAAAAATCTGTGGGAGATTTGTTTCTAGAAACCTTAAAATAACCAAGAGNCAATGACAATGGTGTTGGTGCTGTTTGATGAAGCGCTCGTGAGATTAGATATACATCCAAAAAGGTTGAGCAGCATATTTCAGAAGTTAGTTGATTTGAATCTACCTCAGATTATTTCATAAAATTCGACTTTGAGATTTTTTCTTGCAAACTTTTGACTCACCCTCATATACGCATAATATTACTATGAAGGTGTATTGAATGGAAAAAGAATATATGATATAAATGAAATATGCGACTAATTAACGTATTTTGTACAAACAAACGAATAAACAAAAACAAAATATAAGAACGATACTGAGTGAAATGAGTGATATAACAACAGAAAAACAACAACGATACTCTTCATTCTAATCCATCTCGAAGTTTCATAAAGCCAACCTGAAAATTTCATCTAATTTACTCATGATGACTTGAAGAAAATAGCTCTGATCCAAAATTTGAATTTATCGATGAAATTCCTAATACACATCCCTGTTAAAAGCCTTTTATTCCTGCGTGCATCGATAGTGCTGTCTGCACAATGCAATCACCTCCACACACAAAACTATGCCGTGCAGCTTACGGATTAGTCAGGCGTTATCACGTGCTAATATATCCACTCACCACTTGCATGTGCAAACCTATGTCCAGTCACAGTGCATCGTTTGTGAAGAAATCATTATGAACTGATAACAATTAACACTATGTAATGACCAACAAGACTTACTTCAGCCATATCAGTTTCATCACTCGAATCATTAAAAAAATTCATGATCTAANAAACAATCAAACAAAGAGATCAAATGAGAACAAAACCAACGTAAAATTGTCCAACAGATCTGCATGCTGGCGGTAAAGCATGTGAAGAGGAAAGTAACAACTGAATAAGACGTAAACAACACCCTAACGGCACATCCACCAGCCCAACACTCGCATCCTCTCCGTTCGCACGAGGGTCACTTCTTGCTGATTCACTGTCAAACACCTTCAATATTTCTCACTTCAGTCACTGCTTGAACTTACAATTGGATTGCTATCATCACATTTAAGTTACTTTTCTTCCTTGAGAGCTTTAAGTGGATGCTGAATTACGCACTTCCTCGAAACGAACAGTGATCTGATCGATCCATATTTCGTATCACTTCACCTTTTTACAACAATCCAACACACGTCCTAATCCAACTCAAGATCGTCAATCCAATCTTATCAAAACGCTGAACGGTGTTGTAATAAAAACTCTTCACTTATTACAATGCCCAATAACTATCACTGCCAACAGCAGTGAATCACTATGATTATCACCATAAATTTTTGGAAAAATATTCACCTTATACAACATTTTAAGCGCTGGAAATGAATGTACACAATCATTCTCAACACTTGTCGATTCTTCATCAGCATTATGGCTGTTACCATTAGAGCTAGGTTCGGTTCCATTCAGCGACGACGACGAATTTTCACGAAGGTCACCACTGGTCAACACCACATACGATTCTAGTAACCAAATCTGAAACAATTTCCTCACCTCTAAATCATCCATAATGCTTTCTTCTAAATCAGTCTTTGGCACATACACAGTTAAGTCTTGACCATTTTGCACGCAATGCACTAAAAATATGAAGCTCAACAACTCAATTATTCAATTCGAATGTTAGGCTGTCNAACAATCTCAAAACGATAGCGGCAATGTAACAAGTAATTCTCGAATTCTAAACATTTACATTTAGAGGTGCATTTCCATTAACTCTAAAGCATGAGAAAGGCTATTGCACTAATCAGTAGAATATTTTCGAACCAGCAATATTTCTTCTCAAATGGATAAATTAAGAAACCTTTCAGCGCATCTAATACTAATTATGACAATTATTCTCAGCACTATTCTACAACGAAACAACAAACCAATAAATATGGACGTTTATCGTACGAACGAATGACAAGTTTCAGCGATGTTTGCGATTCACACTGCGATAAAAGTAACCACGCAAAATAACGTTCGATGCAACCAAATCTGAATCAAACAAATGCATTTCTTATAAGACAATCAACAATAAACACCCGATATCAACAACGAGAATTATTGCGAAAACAAATCCAAACGCTCCAGAACTTCAATGACTCTTTTATCTGCTTTCAGGTCTTAACTGAATCTTGTATTCACCGAGTAGAACACGAAAAAAGAACAGTGGATTTGTTTGCACTCATTGCATTTATCTATGCAGATAATTAGAAAACGGCAGCAGGTAGATAAAACATAAATTACATTCAAGTAGAGAAGCACAAATCATAGAATGAAATCAAAGGGAAACAGCAACATTTACCTGACGTCAATGTACGGTTTGATGGATTTCGATGCCTTCAACGTTGTCACAGCATGATGCAGCTGAACTAAATTTGAGTTTCCTGCAATCGAAAATAATTGAAAGTGCTGCATCCATAAATCGTCGCAATAATTTTATTGAATGAAACAATAAACGGGATGACTCTCCTCTATGTAAACACGATAATACGAAATAATTCAAAATTTTCGACGTGCTTTTTTTGAGCTCACAGAATTTTTCTCAAAAATGAACTCATGATTATACATAGCTTGTGTTGTAACAAAAAAACAACCAACTTCTGTAAACGATGCCTAACTCAGCAGCGCATTGAATACACTTAACGATACCTGAACTTTCACAGATTCGCATCACATCCGATGGTAAAGTCTATAAAATCATACGTCACTATCGTAATCCATCACCCTCACTGCTACATTTCGAATCAAATACTCAATCCATTTTCAATTGCGTTTCTCATGATATTCAAAAAAGCGTGATACTAACTGCATTATATACAAATTTTTACTTCACTATAAAGATTGAACATTAAAAACAAAAATGACATCGATGAAAAACAGTTTAAAAAACCTGTCTAAGAACGAAAATGAAAGAATGCGCTAGAATGAATCTTTTATTTGTTGGCAGCCAACGATCACGATTTGAGGCATTTGTAAGGTCGGATGGATCCGATGAATTCGAATGTGAATGTGCGCATGAATCACGACAAAAGTATTCCATCGACGGTGCCGTTTCCAACCAGTCGTCTTCGGGGATTGAACCAATTTCAATATTTCTGCATTTCAGTATTATTATCATCATTCATTATCACTACTCTTATTATAACTTATACACATAATAAGCATACATACCCTGGCTCATAACTAAGAAGCTTTAATGAGCATTCGGCACATTCTATTGCTATTGGACATGACTGCGCATTTTCAGCATATTCTTCCAGAGGCACCTTCGACGAGATATCTTTTGCAAGACGGTGGAATGTTTTTGGGACTAAAAATCACATTTTAATCACCACTTATAAGATATTTATCACAATTGATCTCAATTAAGACAACAAACAGATTGATCTGATCACACATGACTTTTCATCATTTAAACGAATTTTTTTATGATCCATACAGCAAATGACTCCGCTATACAGCAGCATGGCACGAAACAATTACTTGTTCGAAGGCACAGTTCCATTTCTATCTTCAAAGCAATTTCTGTGGATGTAATATAATCAAAAATTTAAAAACTTCTGCACTCACCGAGCGGTATCCCGTCGGCCTCAGCATGTACTTTGCACATAAACAAACGCCTGTGATCGGCCCAAGTCAAGGCACAAACCGTATTTGGATGGAGGCATAAATCAGCGATTCGAACTGAGAAACGACTCTTTGCCGAGTCCAAATTACCGTTCTCAACATCTTTCAATTCCAGTCCATGTGCTTCAATTTTAACCAACTCCGTTGTCTGCTGCTCATTCAATGAGGATGGAGCACTTCAAAAATTCATTCATTACAAAACAAGAGTAACATTCGGTTTCAGGAAAAAATAATGACTCCAAAGGATGACATGTAAACACCATACAGATATATGCTAGCTCATACGGGTCTATTTTAGTTCAGTGCAAGTTTTGGATCAAAGTTCTGGATCAAGCTTATGCCTAAATCCAGGCTCGATTCGAACGGATGCAGCTAAAATGCGTCAACATATATCTTTGCACCCGGATGAGATTCATAGGTTGCATTTGATGTCATATAAGTGATCAACTTTCATTCAATCAATTCATTAAATGTCTCTTTGTTGTCGTCAATATTACTACCCGTACGCCACCACAACATAATACCGGTCAATTACTCAATTTCAAAAATAACTGTGGCAATAAAATTGATAAAACCTTTCAACATTTGCGTTATCACTGCTCTCCGCATTCTGTTCGCTGTCCTCAGCCGGAGGGCAATCGACGAAAAGCGATGCAAATTCAGCGCGAGGCTTCAATTCGATCAGAAATGAACGCGAATGCCACTCATCGATTGACATTGATATCATTCACCTTGAAACTGAATTGCATAAACCAATGGTGAATTACCTTTACATTCTAATTAGGAAATTATGCAAACGTGAACAGTGATAAAAACAAAAGTTTATCATTCCTGACATTTACTTTGAGTTTTGACGATAAATTTGTGTGTTGGTAATTACCAACACACAAATCTATCGTTACGGCCTTTCGCCACGGAATATTCATTTAGTCCACTGCGTCACTGACTCCCCGAGAGAGAGCATACAACAGATAAGTGCGATTTGGATACAGAGGGATTAGTCGATCCATTAACATTGCTGAACGGATTGAAATCTACGAGTCATGAAAAGTATGAATAAGAGGAGGGTACACGATTTATGGAGAACCGAAATCTATATCAGAAACCATTTTCAGAGAAACTTTTTAAACTGAAATAAGCAATGTCGTGGAACAAGGAGTAATGTGGAGTCATAGCAGATTACAGTGTAATGGAGCAGATTACGGTGTAATGCAGTGAGTGTTGATGAAAGCCAGAATATAACTTTCAAACAGCATTGAAAGTTTTATCAGAAATCGTTTTCAGTTCGCCAGATGTTTTCACTGACCAATTGTATGCTTTTAATGACTGCTGCACATTCTGCTGCTTTATCAAGCTGCTAATAAATAAATTTTGTGGGGATATAAAAGACGCAACCGATCTCATGCACATGCTAATCCCTAGGGTGCAGTGTTCATTCGGAGAAAAGGTCATGAACGTGAAAGCGATAAAAAGTTCTGTTAAAAAACCGACCAAAGCGAAAACAATGCCTTATGATAGAATACTGCGGATTCCAGTATTGCACAAGTGAAAATACTCTTCATTAATTTGTCCATTATGACCACAGTTCCTTTCCTTATTATCGAAGTCATTTTTTCTTATCGTTAATGATTTTACGCTTTTTTCAAACCAGTTCTACATTCTTGAAGTTTTACCGAGCTGAACATTCATATTTTTAAGTTTTTAGCTCTACACCTGATTTCAGCGGTGACCGCATATCTTGTGAAATCTAAAGCGTTTCCAGCTGTCTACAGCATCGTGCACTTGTGAATTTGCTTGAGGTTTGCAGCTCTAACAATACAGAGTGCTTGAAAGTGATGTTCATCGAGCAACTGGGTCCCTATCGCGGATTCCATTTCGCAACAATTCTGCTCTCCGAATTTTTGGTCGGGATCCTCGGTCAAAAAGTTACTCCCAGACGAACACTAGTTCCGATTGTTTGCACGTGAATGTTATCTGAGACTGTAAGTCCTCATCACTCCTTGTTAGACTCCATCTGAACTGGATCAGTTTACCGTGCAGCTAGTAGCATTCATTTTTTGTTTCTGTGCTATATAAATATTTACTTTATCGTCGTCGTAGTATCTGTTGCTTTACCGAGCGATATGGTATCGTTCGTAAGGTTCGTATGCTCTGCAGTAGCGTGCAAAACGGAGCTGCCGAATAATTGCGGTTAACGGGGTTTGACTCGTTTTGTATTATTTTTTGTGACGCTTTTTAATTTCTTATTTTCTGTATTTTGTGTATTTTTGTAAGACTCCTGTAAACGCTTCTCATTTGTGTTAGACACTGTTGACGTGCTCCTAATACCATTTACGGCATTTATGCTATTTCGGGGCAGCTAGCTATGCAATGCCATGTCATGCCACGCAATTCGAT